AGAGAGTCAACAACTGAGATATGAAATGGCAGCACCATATCTTCCCTCAAGTGAATGTGGTCAAGCATCTTATCTGAATTTCCTAGTCAGTTCCTATGTAATGCGTCTAACTGCTCTCCTTTAATGCTTTAAGTATGAAACAGCTGGCGGAAATATCAGCTTTTTCTTGTGAGTTCCTCTTCTTCCATCCCACTCTCTCTGTCCTCGTTCATCTCTCTGCCTCCCTCGCACACAGAGAGATAAAGAAATAGAATGCCAAGGCTGTTTAATACAGCCTGGTATTGCTTCCTCAAGGTAAGAGGTAACTCTGACCTACCTCTATACAAGCTGTTGGAGTTTAGAATGTTAAAAAATTTCCAGACATGGATAAAGAAATAGAATGCTCAAAAGATGGAATGCCCCAAGGCTGTTTAACTTTGTTCCACTCAGCAAACCACAATTACGCATTGACATGAAAATTCATTTAGTAAGGCTTGGTATTGCTTTCCTAATGACCTACCTCCTTACAAGCTTGGAGTCTAGCATGTTGAAAAGTTCTACCTGAGTGCACAGATCCAATGTTTTTGTCCGGAATTAGCTTTCTAGATGACACGAGAAACAGACACGGTACGTCCAGGCTTTAAACAACACTAAAGGTCAATTAATTTTACAACATTTGCTTAGGTTCCATAGATCTGGATACTGCATAATGTAATAAAGAAATATAATTCCACAACCTTTAGTTTTTAGCCTCTAGAAAAATATACCTCCTTGTCTGAATTGTATGAACCCATAATTCTCTAGTCGTTTTGCTGTATCTTCAGAGAAAGCCTTCACCCAGAATGATAAGGTCTCTCTTGCCAGCTGCAAAAAGCTCATATTGTAAGTATACTGCCCATGCCATCAGAGCTAACATTTTGGAGAACTTCAGAGATGAAGGTAAACTTCTAATCAACTGTTCATGTCAAACTGTCTAACAAATTATGCAAAAAAGTGAAACATACATCCATGTCAATTCTAGACTAGACATTTCCGCCAAATCAAATCAACATTTTTTCCAGCAGTCTGATTGGCCCAGTGCAAAAACCAACTAACAATTTGCATATCAATATTTAAAGCTAAAGCTCACAAAATAGATATCCCACTGAAATTGGAACTAACCGGTTACACACTCTCAATATACTTGCAAATTCCATTACTTTCAATACCTTTCTTCTGTTGAAGTACATTTTCTAAACTAATACCACCTTTGCATTTTTCATGATGAATGCGATCAATATCTTATGCTATGTACTCAAGAAAACAATTAAAGACGCGAAAATTTATATTACAGATCAGATACAACCGAAATCGTTTTAAAGGTCAAAGACAGCTGATGTATAGCATGTATAGTACATTGCACAGGGCTCCATCAGCACTGTAATAAGATTAGTTGATCAGCTTGCTAAATAGAATTAAGAACTTCACTTTGAAATCGAGGACGCTCACAGCTCAGCTAACAGTCCACCCATAGTGTCCAATCATTAAAAAGCGACCCTTAAAGAAGAATTCAAGTGTACCACAAAGACTGCGAAAGTAAAGCTCCACACTTTGAGTGAAGAGTATAAATGAAAAACTTCTTTTAATAGTCTTAGTCCAAATAGTTCTGGCATGCTAGCCTTACTACAGAGAATTATATCCAACAACAACAAAAAACCCAAAGTAATCCCATAACTGAAGTCTGGGAAACTACAGAGAATTATATCCCTGATTAAGAATTCAGCTTCTAGAAGGTTCACAGACCTCATGTTCCGAAAGAAGCAGTGCCATCAATGTGGTTTCCTGGCTACTATTGGGGTTGATGTTTCCTACAGTGGGATGTGAGGGGTGCACTAGAAAAGGGAAAGGAAAGAAAAATGAGAGGAAAACGGAAAGAAAGTGAGAGGGAAATAAGTGGGCCGCAGAAGAAAAACTTTATTCTCTCTCCACTTTTCCTCTTTCTTTTCGCATACCAAGCAAGGGAAGAGAAAATCAACATAGCACTCCTCATTTCGTTCACCTAATTGGCAACAAAGGTCAAGAGTTGTAGCACTATATGCCAAAAGTGATGCTAGATAATAAACCATCCACAGATCAGATGATTCATCTCTTCAATACCTCATCAAGGGTCAATCCACCGATGCTCGATTTACTGCCACAGAATGCAACATCTACGACCTCCTTTCCCAATCCATAGATTTCAAATATTTGTGCACCACAATAACTGAACCAAATAATTATTTGTGAGAGAAGCAGATGAGGAAACATAGAAAGGTAAATTGCAATAAAGAAGACAGAAAAAGCAAGAAAAGAAAGAAAAGGCTACAACAGGAAAATTGCTGGCTCAAACTATATTGGAAGTAGATACCTCGAGAGCAAGGAGATTCCCATTTTTGAAAGAATTTTGAGAAGGCCAGATTTAACTGCCTGCAATTGAGGGAAAAATGATCAAGTCAATGTCTGTATTATGGACTGCAAGCATCTTCAAGTTGCATCACCGAACGGTTATGTAGGTAAAATGAAAAGGCACTTCTGAAGCCCTAAATTCCACTAGCAAAATATCTCCGATGTGCTTTTTTAAAATGCCAACCAGGAAACAGTAATTTAGTAAGCATACTTTCACCAAAGATGCATACCTTGCAAAAGTTCTTTTGAGCTTGTTCAATGGTAACAGTAGGCATTTTCCCATTCCGCATCAAGTTCACAGTTTTAGTGCTCAAGCGCCACTGTCGACATGTTTCGAATGCCAAGTATGGACACACAGCACTGAATGAGGAAAGAATATATAAGTATGTCTTTGCCTGAATGTTTAAACAACAGCAGACCTGACCCCAGATGTATACGTTAAGGGCAAAAGAGAACTTTACCACAGTGATAAATCAGATTGAAGAACTAATCTAATAAGTTAAGAGACAGATTATAGATAAAGTGAGTGGTATGTCATACAGACTGAACGATACATTTCTCAGCCTTTTGGCTAAGATTAAGTTCAGAATCTGTTCTGATCAGTTTAATATCTGATGATATTAACTCAATGTCAAACAGACTGAACAAAAGAACACGGATCGATGCGCTTGAGAGCACATAGAGATCTTGTAAAGAGGAGTGGAAACGAAAACAGAAAGGAGTTTTATGTCTTAGAATTAACCTTGCACCATATCCGATCAAGCAAGCAAACTGATGAGTACTGAAGCACTGGGCAGTATCAGCAACAATTGAAGCCGACATTCTAAGGCCATTCTGAATCAGATGCTGGTGAACAGCACCTACAGCAAGAAGTATTGGAATTGAAGGCCGAGTAGCTTCCTGGAGATGGCAAGCAATAAGTTTATTACACTTGCAAACCACAAGCTTTAAAGTTCTTATCAGGGAAGAATAAGGGCAAATAGATTAATAGATACGAAAGACAGACTGCTATAACAGAAAGTTAAACTTTTCAATGAACCACACTGGAAAAGAAAATTCAGAAAGAACCAGACTTCATAGATATCATGAATCAGGAAAAAAAAAAGAAGAAGATGATAACCTCAATAATTTGAATATGCCTACAAATAAGTATTGCTACTCAAGGGGTAAACTAAAAATCTTTTAAATTTGAAAAACTTAGACTTGCATATAATTGGAGCAAACAGCACTTGGCCAAAATGTCAATACAACTATGCAGGCAATGCCACCGTCGATGAAACTAAAAGACAGATAGTAGCACAGAAATGGCCAAAGGGGAGCTTACCAGTTCATCAGATCTATCAGAGAGGACAAGCAATTGAGCACCATTTCTAACAGCTTCATCAGCTGCCTCACATAGTTTATACAGTGACCTTTTCAAGGACCCTTCAACTCCTTTCCCAACATCAAAAAATGTTGGCAAAACATGAGCTTTCAAGTGTGAATCTTTCAACAGAGATTCAAGCTCTCCTTCATTAAGAACAGGACTAGGCAAAATAACCTGACCAAATACAAAATGGTAAACAATAGAAAACAACAAATGATACATGATATATCTGTACTAAACATAAGATCATAAAAAAAAAATTTAAACACCACATATTATCAAAAGTTGAAAGGAAGGAGAAGAGTCAACCAACCTGAGATGCATTTTCAGGTCCAACCTCTAGTATATTTCCACGCTTGCCAAGATTGACTTCAAGAGACATGACTAATCCTTCTCTAAGAGGATCAATAGCTGGATTTGTAACCTGACATAGATGCACATAATATATTAGACATCAAATTCAAGTCTAATCATAAAAATCCATCATAGCTATCTGGTTAAGATAACCGGTGACTCCAAATATACCTTTCGGCCAAATATCAAGTAAGCAAAAAACATCTTTCAGCCAATTTCCAACTCATTCGAAAAGATAAGCAAACATACAATCAAAAAAACTCGTTCGGAAAGAGAGAAAGAAACACAAGTTTGACATCTTACAAAGCTCGCAATAAGTGCTGGAAGAAAAACTATGACATATCTAAAGACATAGGAGATGCCTTACAGAAACTATCCAGGACTACAGATAACAACATAGCCCACCTGAGCAAACCGCTGCTTGAAATAATCATATAGCATATGTGGCTTTTGAGATAACACAGCCAAGGGAATATCATCTCCCATGCAAAATGTAGGCTCCTTCCCTTGTGCAGCCATACTTTCAATAACCATTTGAACATCCTCGCTAGAATAACCATATGCCCTGTTTTATGAAAGGAAATGATAGCACAAGATTAATAATGGTTGATATAACAAATTCCAGTCAAGAGAACTTGCACTGCGAACCAGCATGGGGAAGCGAAGGATGCTATCAGGAAAATTTTGATACTTCACCCAATGCATCAACAAATTAAGCAGACATATTCCAGTGCAACTAGTAATGAGAATTGTCTTCTCAAGTATTATTAACTTATAAATAAAATTCATAGTAATCAAAATTTGTGCAAGGAAATAGGACCCAAATCTCACATGTACGGTGAGAAGTCATTGTCATAGAATACAACTGTAATCGAAAACATGCCAAGTGGTGACCAACGAAATAACAAGCTAGGAACGTATTCCTTCCTTTGTCTCTGATTCTCAAGAGGAAGCTATATATAAAACTAAGCGACTCTCTCTTTTCTTGTATCCTTCACCTTCTCTCTGTTTTCTATCTCTTGTGTTTTCCACTAAATGAAGAGCTATCCTCACCGCATTTGCAAGGCACAATGGATCCATCACTTATCCCTTTTTTCTGAACTTACAGCATCTAGAGAATCTTCTTCCTCCTACACACGCCTTTGGTAGTGATTTCTTCTGAGCCTCAGATTAGATTAGAGATCTAACACTTAATCTTTTTACACTGTTAATCCACATTCTAAATTACCAACTCTGTAAACAGAGTCTTACTAGCAAATTTATTAGTTTTACCCACGAGTAGGTCAATACCATCTCTCATGGCGGAGCCTGTCAGCAACAAATCTTGATACAAGTCTCCACTTTGTATGCTCCTTGCTTTCATTCTTCATTTCACGTTCAAGAGATAAAGGTAAAACTAGCAGAGAGTGTTTTTATCATTTAACCTAATCTATAGGTACAAAAGCCTTGCCATAATAAAACCATAATCTTCACCGGGCCAAAAGTACCAAGTTCAAGTAGTATCTGTTTGCAACAAATTTATGCAAAGAAAAATAACACTGCAATCGCAAACACCTGTAAAGAAAACAGGTGTTTATTGATAAACATTAAGGTTACAACTCTGTTTATCCCCTGATTCTTCCCTCCGATTTATTCTACGTGATTCGAGGGCCTTAGCGGCGTATTTCTCGAACGTAGGACTTTAAGCAAGACATATTTGACATGTCTTTGATTTCTTAATGAATATTCCAAGAGTTTCATGGAATTTCAGAGATCTCATATTTGATCTCTTTGTGCATATTCCGAGAGTTTATGGAATTGCTGAGATCCTCTTTGAAGGACATATGTAGCCTTATTTATAGGCATGAATTAGGGTTTGGATGGAGTAGCCACCAAGTAACCCTAATAGACTCCTAATATTTCAGAGTTGTCTTGAATTTAGGATTTATCTTGATCTTTTAAAATTTCAGTGTCTACGGTATCGTTGCCCTTCTTTTCACACAGCAAAATCACTGCTTAATTGAAATGCATGTCGTGTAGTCCAAACCCCTTAGAAGCATATGCTAATGCTCAATTGCAGTTGTCCTTTTCACATGAATGTTGTTAGAATAGTCATGTAAATAGGAGTAAATAAATAACCCTAATCCAATATATATTAGGAGTAGGACATGTTATGTGTGTATATATAGGGCTCATTGTAACATATGTTAATACATCAATAATATAATTTCTCCTGTGCTTTCTCACATGGTATCAGAGCTATCGTGAGATATTTATCGCTGTGCATAAATTCCAGCGACTCCGGGAAGAAAAAAAAAACCTTTTTTCTTGGCAAAACAGCACTGTCCGCAAGAAAAAATCAATATCCGTCGGTGTTGTGCAAAAACCAACACCACCACGAGATAGATCAGCTTCCGGCGACCAAACCACAAAAATTTCTCCGGCAGAACCTCTCCCACGCGCCCTCACGCGCCGCCGGAAAATATTTTCCGGCGAGTCTCCGTCGTCACGCGCCGGCGCGTGAGGCCTCTTCCGGCCATTTTTTGGCCGAACTTCTTCAGGACAGCCTGGTCGCACAGCAATTCCGACCCTACCCATCCTGTTTTCGTTTGATTCCGACCACTTTGAGTTTTTCCGGCGACTACACTGATTTTTCCGGCAGCTACAGTACTTTTTCGGCAAACACAGTGTTTTCTTCATCTGTTTCAGAGAATTTTCAGTTGATTCTTTTTGTTATTTGGTGATAATCCAACCATGTCTTTGGGAGTCGATGCTTTCGGGTCTAGAAACCCGGGTTCTGGCAGTTCCGGTGTTATGATTACCTCAGAACCTTTAATGGGAGGTTCAAACTACTTAGATTGGGCTTCATCTGTCGAGTTGTGGTGTAAAGGTCAAGGAGTTCAAGATCATTTAACAAAAAAGGCTAGCGAAGGTGATGAAAAGGCCAAAACACAGTGGGAGAAGGTCGATGCTCAGTTATGTAGTATCCTGTGGCGATCTATTGATTCCAAGTTGATGCCCTTGTTCCGTCCATTCCAGACATGTTATTTAGTTTGGGAAAAGCCTCGTAATCTATACACTAATGACATATCTCGTTTCTATGATGTAATATCGCGAATGACAAGCTTGAAGAAACAGGAATTAGATATGTCTACTTACTTGGGACAAGTTCAGGCAGTCATGGAAGAATTTGAGACGTTGATGCCAGTTTCTGCTAGTATTGAAAAACAACAAGAGCAACGACAGAAGATGTTTCTAGTTCTTACACTCGCTGGACTCCCTAATGACCTTGATTCAGTACGTGACCAGATTTTGGCTAGTCCAACCGTCCCCATAGTTGATGAATTATTCTCTCGATTACTTCGCCTTGCTGCAGCACCTAGTCACCCAGTGAGCTCATCACAGACACTTGACTCATCTGTCCACGTATCCCAATCAGTGGACAATCGGGCATCTCATACTATGGAGAATAGACGAGGAGGAGGTCGTTTTGGAAGATCTAGACCCAAGTGCTCTTATTGTCATAAACTTGGACACACTCGTGATGTATGCTATCTTACATGGCCGCCAAC